TTTATAATATTAGTAAGATATGTAACATGAATTACGTCATTGCTTAGTGTGACCATTACCAGATTAACCAGAAAAAACATAAACAGTGAAATAAGTTAATAACAATTAAAATCTTCTGTTGTGTACAATTTTATTGGACACTATTGTAGCTCGCGACTTCGCCCGCGTGTAATTAAAAAATATAGCCTATGTTACTCACAGATAAATTACCTTTCTAACGTTGAAAGAATTTTTAAAAACGGCCCAGTAGTTTTTGAGTTATTTCAATACATACAAAAACACAAATCTTTCCTCTTTATAATTCTAGGATAGAAAAGTTCATTGTTTTTTGATTTAATCTTTATTGTGTTGTTTTTCATAATCGATTGAGCGTCTAACTAGTCTATACCAGGGAATAAAAAAGTAGGTTCCATTAAGAAGAAAGGAAGTTTTTTATGATAAGATGTCATAGAATAGCCTGATTTAGGATTGCAGAGAAAGGGTACGTCGGCATATCTAATGCGATGGATACATGGCAATCTAAAACTCCGCAGACGCTCCGGCGCCGGCGTTCCATTTTCCTCGTTCGGAAAGTAGACCGAATGTAGTAAATTGCTTGAATACGTCGCATACAAAGCTCACGAATCGTAAAACAGAACGTTAACAGTAATGACTTATGTTTTTGCATTTAAAATGGTATTATTGGGTATACAATATGAATAGAAGATTTAATTTTCACTTTTTAAACCCTACATAAATCGAAATTAGTTTGGCTATTGCGATAAATTGTGTTGTGAAATGAACTGGCTTGATCGCTTAAATAATACAAATTTTAAGAATAAGTTAGCATTACCAAACTCAGATATAGTATCAATTACATTTTAGGTTAAATAAACGCCAACCTGTTTACACCCTTGCTAGCTATCGCCTGCGTCTCAGTTCCCGTGGGATTAAAAAAAAAACAAAAGTGAATAGCCTATCTGAATACTATCTACATCTATACCAAATTTCATCATGATCAGTTCAGTCGTTTAGGCTACAAACTCTAACAAACATCCATCTAATTTTTCGCATTTATAATATTGACTAGTAAGATTTTAGCGTTCGGCGCAGATTATTAAACATCATCGTTATTGAAACATAATTATGCGTAAGCTTCTTTAGTCAATTTAATTTTATAGAATACTAGCAGTTACCCGCGACTTCGTCCGCGTGGTATTAAAAAACATACGAACTATATAAATAACAAAAAGCTACGTATCCCTCGGGAACCGGACATTTCTCGGGGATGAACCTTATCCCATGTGTACTCCAGACTTTGTTTTATATCTGTGCCAAATTTTAATAAGATATGTTGAATCGTTACAGAATGATCGCTTAAACATTAAAAAAACTAAATTAAGGATTCCCACGGGAACCGTAACTATTCCCAAGATAAAAAGTAGCCGATGTGTTCTTCCAGACTTTGCTCTAAACCTGTGCCAAATTTCATGGAGATATGTTCAGCCGTTTAGGCTACAAACGCTAACAAACATCCATCCATCCATTGTAGCTTTCGCATTTATAATATTTATTGTAATTATTATATATTAACCATATGATTCCGTAATAAAGCAATCATAATAAATACCAATTTCTGTCTCCTTGTGTTACAAATCACTCGAATAAGCCTTCATAAGAATTTCGATAAAACAAATGACATCGTTCGACCATAAATTCATCGTAAAAGGAAATAAGGGCCGAAATATATTTTAGTTTTGAGAAATCGCAAACAATAAGGATTCCCGACGTGACGTGCGAGGACGGCGGTAAGATAAATAGCCGAAGATACCCTGTTCCACATCTCTACAGAAAAGACGAATCATAACTTTTTACAAACGAATTTATGCAAAATGTTGAAAAAGAAAGGAGTGAGATATACCATCTAAAGACGTTGAAAGTTACAACAATGGACTCAATGGATTTTTTCCCCATTGGTTTTAAAAAAACCGTTGTGGTACAGTTCCTAAATATTTTTAGTAATTACACTTTACAAAAAAGGACTTCTAGAGTTTAACAATCCTGTCCAATGTAACAGTCTCTACATTACCGTGAAATTGCATTGACCTAACTGCAGTTTTTTCAAAGGGAACCAACGGAAAGACAATCTGATTGACAAATGTTTTGAGAGCGAAAAACCACAGTTCCATTAAGCACAAAGCTACATACTAACTTAAGCATACAACTTTATTCGGTAACTCAATAATACATGAAAAACTATCTTCATTTTAATTCAGGTACTAGCTTTCGCCCGCGACTTCGTTCGCGTAGAATAAAAAAAAAGTAAGTAGCCTTTGTGTTCTAGATTATCCTCTATGACAATCTTTGAGATTCGTTCAGCAGTTTAGACTACAAACTTTAACAAACATCCATCCATATGAAATTTTGCATTTATAACATTAGTAAGATCAGTAAATATAGGTTCAATTATTTCATACACTTATAGGAACATAAACTACTATTACTAATAAGATTAACTAAATATTATACAGAATAATTCAAAAAGTTTCATTAAAACTCTATTTCGAACGAAACAAAGTCCGGGTCATCTTAAAATATTCGTTTAAAATACACTTGCAACGTTTGCGGGACAAACAAAATTGTCAAAAGCAAACAGAATCCTGTTTATAAAGGATTTGTTTGCATAGCTTTGTTCGTTTCGGATAAGTGAGTGAACTGAGAATGTATGATAGAAGAATTTAATAGCTTTGCAACGCTGTTCTTGACCCGATTTTATTATTCGTATTCTCTTTGACAATTAAACTACTTTAATACATTTGGAAAAAAAGGTGTATATTAACATATATCATGAGATAGCCATATTCACATTAGTTAAATGTTTTGTATCTTGTTTTGTTTGTGAACGATAATTGAAATTGTTTGCCTATAACGCTACTAGATGGCATTTACACACTTGTCGTCAAGGCGGACGCGGCCGCTTTTTTAATCTGTCGTCGCGTCTGCAAAGTCATCAACGTCGTTCCGTTAGTGATATTCAAATTTAACTTACACAAATTAACAAACATATAAGTGCTCCTTCGAATCGGTTGTGAATTAAAGAAGTGAATGTCTTGTTTATTTACGTGTTTTTTTTCTAATTATTAGTGTAACTTCGAGACATCGAACATTCCAGGTGCACACCAAGTTTACCGTTTTTGCTATATTAGTTTTACAAACAACAAAATGGATTTAGACAATTTAATATCGTGTCATTATTTTGGTATAAAAAAGATCGTAAACAGGTTAGTGAACAGACGATAATATCAAACAAATAATTTGATTTACGCACGAGTTATTTTTGCTCTAAAAATCATATCGTAAAAATATTACCCACATAATAAACAGAATAATAAATCGACTGTCTGTCTAGACAGACGACGTAAAAATTAATAAAGTAATTAAAACTAAATAAACTGAAAAGAACAGTCTCAAAAAGTAGTAGTAAATTTAATTTATCTTGAAATACACATCAAAGGTATTTTTATCAATAATAAAATGTGTGATTTATAATATTTATAATGTCCTAAATGTTGGTCGCATCTCCGTTCGCGTGGAATTAGAAAAAGTAAGAAGCCTATGTATTTCGAAAGTATGTTTTACATCTTTGCCAAAAATCCCTTCATCCATCCAAACTGTCGCATAATATTAGCAAGAGTAATTTAGCCTAACTAAAAAAACTTCGGTATTTTGTGAATAAATATGAATTTATAATTTACGTACTATACAAAGTGATGTTATAAAAAGTCGATAAAAAATCCCTGGGGATAAGTACAGTTTCTTCTATTGGCTTAACTATAAATAAGATAACCTTTATATCGCAATGCTTTTTATTAGTGTTTGTATTTTTTTTATAACCATAAATGTTAAATCTTTTCGAGTCCGATGGTGAAAATATCTATACTAATATTAAAATGCGAAAAGAATTGCATTTTATATTTATTGAAATAACTCAAAAACTACTTCGATTTAAAAAATTCTTTCACCATGATTAAGCTACGTTATCATCTTAGTCTGATTTTATTATTTTTAATTTTCGCGTGAACAAAATCGCAGACAGCTATTGTTACTCTATTCCAATGATGGTTATATTGTTCGAGACTTCGCCCGTGAAATTAAAAAGTAATAAAAATTATAGCCTATATTACTCATAGACAAATTACCTTTCTAACGGTGAAAGAATTTTTAAAATCGGCCCAGTAGTAACTTATTTCAATACATACAAAAATACAAATCTTTCCTCTTTATAATATTAGTATACACGAGTGGTTATACCTACAGATACACGAAAAGGGTTGTTTTAATAGGACCCTACATTTACACAACCACAATGTGGCAGAAACCTTTCATTGTCATACATTTTAAAACGTCCATTTCTAAAATACGAGTAAGGGCGATTATGACAAATACGCAATTTAAAATATGGAATTGCTTTTCTCATATCACGAAATAATGTGGCAACATTTAATTGCTGAAGAGTTACGTAATCTCTTAACTCGTATTATCATAGTATTTTTACTATTATAAAGTTTATTTCATTCTTCATTCGATATTCAAACTAAATGAAATGTTCCATTCATAATAAATAACGATTTTCTTGTCACTTTTTAATATAGCTCTTAATTTACTGAGAACAGCGACATCTATTGTCCTTCAAAAACAAAACGCGTACTTTTTTCTTCGAAACCATTAATTTACTTTTATACAAAGTTTAAATCATTAAATAAAATACTCAAGTTTGAATATTTACTTATAAATCTTACTAATTTTAATACAAATCCTAACTAAAACATGTAATCCTAACTAAAAAAGAATCCAGCAATTTTAAAGCAGAAATCCGTTGGTATGACACAATACGGGTACATCTATACTTGTATATTTAGAAATAGATGTATTAAAACAAAAAAACGCATGCCTTTGAACACACTTTATTCGCTGTAAAATCGACCTTATACCATTCGTTCTAAAGTCTCTTTTCCTTGCAGATGATGGTGTAAAGGGTGCAACGGGGCGGTAAAGGGATGTAATCGGTGCCGTGATTCAGCGACCATGGCTCTGCTCTTCGGGGCGATGGGGGTGCTTGCCCTAGCGAGTCGCACGGGTAAGTTTACGTCAAACTAAGTGGAAATAAAAATAGACACCTTTGTCTTTTATGTAGACATAATTAATCTGTGAATTGTTTTCTTTTTTCGAATAAACATGTGCTTTACATAGAATAGATACGGCCAGTACCAGTGTACCAGGGCGAAAAGGTGTGCCCAGGGCGTTACACAAAGGGGCCGCCTCAGGCCTTTATACGTAAATCCTCGATTCCCGGTATTTAGTCGTTTGGTGTAAGAAATGATTTATAAACAATATCGGTTACAAAGACTATCGTATATTACGACTGAATATTGATCCATAATACATTATGAACGACTAGCTTTCGCCTGCGACTTCGTCCGCGTGGAATAAAAAAAAACAATAGTGAATAGCCTATATGCTTTACCAAACTATCCTCTACATCTATACCAAATTTCATCGAAATCCGTTCAGCCGTTTTGGCTACAAACTCGTAACAAACATCCATCCATCCTAACTTTCGCATTAATAATATTAGTATGATTTTAAATGTTTTATAGAAATTAGTCATTATTATACACTATTAAAATTTAATCTACACTATTAAAAATAATTTAATCTATTGATTTAAAGCGATTGTATATATTAACAAAAGCTAGTTATTTAAAAAAAACAGTTGTTACTTTATAAGCTAAAAGATATCAAAAAATTACATTCAACAAAATCCCAACATTTCAAACAAAGTATTTCAAAGTGAAGTAATCTAGTAAAACTCTTGATTTCACTCCCACAGAACTTTGTCTTACTTTAGCTGGGATTCATTTGTACAAATGTTCGAATTGAAACCGACTGAGATCGGTTACTATAATAGCTGGATATTGGGTACGTAACTCAGCGGGCACACAATGCCTGTCTACCTTGAATAGCTGCTATAATACTCGAAGGAGACAAAAGTAGCCGTTTACTAAACGCCACAATGTTTAATATTAAACTCGTCCTATTTTGTGGCTGACTATTATTTATTGCAAACATAATGCCCGGGTCGGTGCGTGACCTGAATTTCAGATACTTTATTTGACCTCGTACAAACAAGAATATACAAATAACGTCTTAACTTTAATTTGGAGAGATGTTTGCAATATGATCTAATAAACGTAAGTTGTACACATGTTGGGAAATGTAATAAAATCATAATTCATACTTCATACTAATATTATAAATGCGAAAGTTTAGATGGATGTTTGTTAGAGTTTGTAGCCTAAACGGCTGAACGGATCTCGATCAAATGTGGCATAGACGCTGAGTATTGTCTGGAAGGACACATAGGCTACTTACTTTTGTTTTTTTTTTTAATTTCACGCGGACTGAGTCGCGGGCGAAAGCTAGTAATAAAATAAATGGGAAAGTTTAGATGGAAAATTGGTATAGACGTAGAGGATAGTCTGGAAGAACACTTGGGCTACTCACTTTTTTTTAATTACACGCGGACAGGTTCGCGGGCGGCAGCTAGTAAAATCATATTTCATTTTTTCTTTCTACAATGACACTCAAGGACAGCAGTCCTTATGACGTCACGCGTTAACAGAACTAGGCAAATGAACGTTTGAAGGTTTTAAGGGAATGGAGTCATTGACAAAGCATTTCCACAAGAAATAATCTATAATAAAAAAAAAACTAGTAACTACAGTAGACTAGTCAATTTTATATACCGTGTGTTGCCAACACAAAGTTTAGAGAAAAGGTTTTAAACATGGTATAATTATCTAGAAATCTGTAAATGTTATCATCATCATCCTCAGCTCACTATATGTCCTTACTAGGGCTCGGAGCTTCCCTAAGTAAAGGGTGACTAAGTCATAGTCAACCACGATGGCGGGTTTGACACATATCGTTAAAATTTTAGGCCGATATGTGCAGTTATCACGATGTTTTCCTTTACCGTAAGAACGTCGGGTAAATTATGCACATTGGTACATGGCAGGATTCGAACCCAAGACCTGATTACAAGTCTTGCTTAATCCCCTGTGTCATCGACACTCATGTTATCGTCTAATGTTTAAAAAGTGCTCCAAGTGACTACTTCTACAGTGCTCATAGCAAAAGCTTCTAGGAATCCAGAAGGAAACATCTATTTTTGTCTTATTTGGTGCAGGTTGTACCGGCAATGGGGTAGGCACAAATGGCGTACCCGAAGCAGATTATACCGACATGGATCTAGGCCTGGCTCACCGCGGACCTCACTTCGACGTTGCTTACTCTAGAAATGTTACAGCTTTAGTAGGCAAGACTGCGCAGTTAAATTGCAGGGTCCATGACCTTGGGAATAGAACGGTTCGTATGTCAGTTTATATTTATTATTATTTTCTTGCTTTTATTTCTATGAAGTTGATATTTCTTACTCTTCTATACCACTTTATTAGCTTTTATATCTGAATTTATTACCTTTGTATATTCTCTTTAACATTTTCAAACTTTAGTTCGTTTTCCTTTGACTAAAGTGTTTATTTTTGTTTTTCGTGTTATATCCCCATCTTTCTATATTAACCTTTTAAAACCTTTTAAATAATTTATTTCATGTTAATTAAATAAATCAAAATTGAATGTTATATTGGAACCTATTCTATGCATAATGATGATTTAATATTTCTCATTATTTCAATGAAGAAGCTATTGTAAGAAATAAACAAGAACCTATCTCTGTGACTTGTGTATTGCAATATTGTATTGAAAAGAATGGTTTTATATATAATTAAAACTTGCCTCAGGATGATAATCTTCAGTGTTATTAGAAATATTGTACTATCTTAATGTAAAGGAAATTTATTTTTAAATGTAAAACTAAAGTGTTGCCGGCTAATGTTTAATAGGTATAAAAATAGCTACCATTCTATGTTTTTATATTTATTTTACGTTTTTTGATTCTTCTAAGGAGGCAGCTACCCTACCTACCTTCCTCTCTTCCTTCTCCCTTCCTGGAGACGTCCACGTCTTCAATTGTTTTGTGGTCCATTTATTAATTAGCTGTTCCTCGCGACTTCGTCTTCGTGAAATTAAAAGAAAAAAAAGTACCTTTTTAATGGTGAAAGAATTTTTGAAATCGGCCCAGTAGTTTTCGAGTTATTCGAATACATATATAGTTACAAATTTACTGTTACAAATGTATGTATTGAAATAACTCAAAAACTATTGGGCCGATTTCTATAATTTCACCAGTAAAAAGCTACGTTTTAAGTAACATAGATTTTTTTAAAATTTTCTATTTCACGCGGACGAAGTCACGAGCAACAGTTTTACATAAGGACATTTTTAATATATTTTCTATACAGGTATCATGGATTAGACATCGTGATATCCATCTCCTTACATCAGGCAGAATGACGTATACCTCAGACCAGAGGTTCATTAGTGTTCATAACCCACATACTGAAGATTGGATACTAAAAGTAAGGGTTTGAAGATTTTTAATTGCATATCTATGTTTGATGTTTATTTATGGGGGAGGAGGGGTAACCCTTTGACTAAATTACTGTACAACTAACTAAAATTAAGCAATGTGCGCACCTCCATATAAGCTCATAGGAATCAAAGCGAAACTAAAGTTTATTAGAGCCCGCTTTAACGTCTTCGCACTGTAAGGCTCGTCCGGTGCAATACCACGACCACACAGAAATGGGAGCAATTCCGCGTACAGTCTGATGAGTGTGGAGACGGAGCCTGACTTCAGTCCCTTTTCCTTCCCACCTTTAGCTTATAAGAAGAGGATGGGAAGGGAACGTGTATTGACGGTGGAGGAGACGCATAGGGAGGGTAAACATGTTGGGGTCGATTAAGGGCAGGAATTGTAACAATAATTTCCGTCCACAACAAATCGATGACAGTCCAACTTATAAATACTAAGTTACCGTAATAAATTGTCAAATAGAGTTGGCACAAAGCAGCAGTAAAGTGGGTCAGTGGCCATTAGCGAATTTGAAATGTTTATTGTGTAGATAAGGTTCCCGCAGCGGCGCGACTCCGGCGTGTACGAGTGCCAAGTGGGCACCACGCCGCCCATCGGACACCGCATGTACCTCTCCGTTGTTGGTAATTGATTTATAATGTTTACTAATCACCCACTTTCACCCATAAATGTGCATTATCTTATAAATATGTGCGAAAAAAAAACTTTGGATGCTATTTTTTATTATTTTTTTCCCTTTAATACCGATAGAGATGGATGGATTGCTTGTCAGGTGACATGAAGAAGGGAGTGATGACAGATGACGTATGATATAGTTATTTGGAGTACGAAAACCCGGTGCGCCCTACGGGAGTAGGATAAAGCAGGGAAGATGATGATGACGAGGAGGCAAAAGACAATAAAATTCTAGAAATATTGCTTTAAAATGTCATGTTTTTAATTTTGTATTAAGGCAAGATTTTTTAATTGTTTAATTTTTAATCAATAAAATTGAAATTATAAACATTATTGTTTCAATTTAAGGGTATATAATGTCTGATAAACACTGTTTTCGAGATGTTCAAGTTTTTTCCTTGAGCCAGATTTAATGCTCTTGAGTGTACACTTAACACTTTGACAGTATTGAGTTAGAATCAGTTATAATTGTCTCTTAGTATTCGAGACGTTTAGTTTTTTTAATTGAGCCAGATTTATTGCTGTTGAGTGTACACTCAACACTTTGACAGTTTAGTGTGAGTCAGTTACAATTGTCGTTACGCAGAGCCGCTGACGACGATCCTGGGCGGGCCGGAGCTGTTCATCAACACGGGCAGCACCATCAACCTCACGTGCGTGGTGCAGCACTCGCCTGAGCCGCCGCCCGCCATCCGCTGGACACACCACGACGAGGTTACTTAAACACAAACTGGTTACTTTCAATTAAAAAAAATAGTACCCTATGTGTTCCTCCAGACTTTGCTCTTATTCGAGCTGTATTCACTGATTTATTCTACCTACCCTACAACTATTATATTTATATTAATTGTTACCTGTTACCTTACATACATCTATAGCAATTTTTATCAAAATTTTAGCAGTTTAGGCTACAAATCATAACAAAGATCCATCAAAACTATCGCATTTGTATGAAGAATACTTCTATGTTATCCATTAGTTATGGTTCGGAACTAGTAACTTTAACAGTGGTAGTGCCCGCTTTAACATCTTAGCACGAATGTGTCGGCTCGCCCCCAGTAATACCACGACCACACAGAAAACAGGCGTGAAGTAGAAGCAATTCCGTGTTTCGTCTGATGAGTGTGGTGCCGGAGGCCGAATTTAAGTCCCTTTCTCTTCACCACCCTTTCTTATAAGGAGAGGTTGAGAAGAGGAAGTGGATTTAACGGTGGAGGAGATGCATAGAAAGGGGGAATAACCTCTTCATGTGCGTCTCCTCCTCCCTCGTATAAGGGTAGGCAACGCATCTGCAATTGCGGATGTCTATGGGCAGGGGTCGCTTCGCCATTTTGGCGGTTTCAGGTGGCCGCTTGCTCGTTTGCCACCTTATGTTATATAAAAAAAAAACTAACATCTACAAATTATGTATTATCTATATGTCATCCATTATACTAATAAATCCGAAAATTTAGATGGATGGATGTTTGTTAGAGTTTGTAGCTTAAAATATTGAATGGATTTTAGCATAGATGTAGAGGATAGCCTGGAAGAACATATAAGCTACCATTTTGTTGTTGTTAAATCCACGTGGACGGAGTCGCGGTCAAACGCTAGTATTATAGCAAACACAATGTAATTACGCAACTCACATCTATTTACTAATTTATACTTTAGTTGTAAATGGATTTAAAAGATACGAAATTTTTTTTTTAAGTTTTAAAAATAAACTTATGAAAGAAAATAACTAACTATCGAGCAGTTCACCTGATGTTTCTTAATCGGTGAAATCAAAAGTACAAGATAACAATGAAAATTTGACAGTGGTAGTGCCCGCTTTAACATCTTAGCACTGCAGGGCACGCCCCCACTAATACCACGACCACACAGAAGACAGGCGTGAAGTGGAAGCAATTCCATGTTTCGTCTGATTAGTGTGGTGCCGGAGGCCTAATTTAAGTCCCTTACTCCTTACCACCCTTTTCTAATAGGGAGAGGATGGGAAGGGGAAGTGGATTGACAGTGGAGGAGTTGCATAGGAAGGGGAAATATCCTCTTTATGTGCGTCTCCTCCTCCGTCGGATAAGGGTATGGAACGCATCTGCAACTGCGGATGTCTATGGGCAGCGGTCGCTTCACCATTTTGGCGGATTTGGGTGGCCGCTTGCTCGTTTGCCATCTTATGTTATAAAAAAAAACAATGAAATTGTGTGACATTAAGTTTTTTCGTTAACTAAGTGTGTTAACTTTTAACTATATCACGCAAAGTTCAATCATAAAAAATAACCTCGTTTCCGCGTCCCCCGCAACTTGAAACGCTGCCAAAGTCAACGTCGTCTAAATTTTAATGTATAACAGTTTTATATTTTTAAGGTTCAAGATATTCTCCACATGCTGTCTTTTTTGGAATATTTTCCAATAACACGTTAATTTCATAACTTAAGACTTGAACTAGTTAAAATTCTTGTAATAGGCCCGATATTAAATATATATATACTAGCTGTTCCCGTGCGGCTTCATCCGCATGAAATTATGAAAATTTTATATCATTGTGTACATTTGTCAAACAATAGCAAATGTCAAAGTGACATAACATGATGACAAAGCACCGCAACCTTTCTTCTTTGATGTTGGCAGCAACTTATGGTCTCTTTCCCACATTAGGGTTTTTATCCAAATATTTACTCCCTAAGTTTAATGGTGTGAAAATATACAGCCTAAAGCGTGACATAAGTGTAGGGATTTTTATTAAAAAAAAGAATTATTCAAAAATATGCTGTGATTGCTGACATCTTAGGCAACAAAGAAGTGTGTGTTTACGCTTTATTATAATATATAGATGGATATATATATATTTATAGACTAGTCTATAGTATGAAGGCATATTGTGCAAGAAAGGTATATTGTCAAGTTTAGTGCCGTCTTGTGTTGTATTGACATTTCGCAAAATTATAATAAGCTCCACCTATTGGTGTAAAATAAACTTAACAGTGCCACCAAATATAAACATTTATATATTTTGGCTTTGACCCGCGACTCCGTAAGCGTGGAATTAAAAAAAAAAAGTAGTTAGCCTATGTGTTCTTCCAGACTATCCATATCAAGTTTCATTGAAATCCGTTCCGTTTAGGCTACAAACTCTAACATCCATCCATCCATCTAACTTTCACATTTACATTAGTATATTTATATCCAACAGTGGTAGTGCTCCCTTTAACATGTTAGCACTGCAGGGCTCGCCCGGTGCAATACCACGACCACACAGAAGACAGGGGTGAAGTGGAAGCAATTCCGTGTTTCGTCTGACGAGTGTGGTGCCGGAGGCCTAATTTTAGTCCCTTTCCCTTTCCACCCTTTTCTTAAGAGGAAAGGATGGGAAGGAAAAGTGGATTTGACGGTGGAAGAGATGCATAGGAAGGGGAAATGTTTTTATGTGCGTCTCCTCCTCCATCAATTAAGGGTAGGCAACGCATCTGCAATTACGGATGTTTATGGGCAGCGGTCGCTTTCCATTTCGGTGGATTGAGGTGGCCGCTAGCTCGTTTGCCACCTTATATTATATAAAAAAGTATGATTTAATGACACTTATTAACAATTAATAAGCCTACTCTATTTTTTATTGTATATCTTTGTAATATGCATACAAAATTCTAGACAAAACAGATATTTACACCAAAGGTGTCGTCTTAAAGTATATATTTAATCCAAGGCAGGTAATTAGTGTGGTATTGATGGGTCATAGGAGATAAACTACGACTCCCCGCGCGGCGGCGTGTCGGTGATCACGGAGAAGGGGGAGACGACGACGTCGCACCTGCTGGTGCAGAAGGCGCGCGCGCCCGACTCCGGCCGCTACACCTGCGCGCCCGCCAACGCCAACCCCAGATCTGTCGTCGTCCACGTGCTCAGCGGTCAGTCTACTTTATACACACTAACGGACACTAACACCTTACTTTTGGTTTTAATTTCACGCGGAAAAAGACGCAGGCGAAAGTTAGAAAAAAAAACAGTTCCTCTGGTACTTCTGAATTTCTGAAGATAAGTTACTTACCATTATATCGTCTCCGCGTGAAATTAAAACCAAAAGTAAGTAAACTATATGTTCTTCCAGACTATCCTCTACATCTATACCAAATTTCATCGAAATTTGTTCAACTGTTTAGGCTACAAACTAACAAACATCCATCTAAAATTTTACATTTATAATATTAGTTAGGTTAGGATTCACTTTTATCTTTAATTATCGGTTTTAAGCCCGGTGGAACTGTAAATGCCTCTTCAAGGCAAACAGTGGCCATTCAGTCACAAAAAAAACCTATGATAAAAAGTCTTATATATTTTTAACAATTTATTTTTTAAAAATGTATCTAAATTTCCAGAAAATTCTTTTATAATTAAAAAAAACTAGCGATGAATAAATGAACAAAGCAAAAGCTATCGTATGCATCTTGTAATATAGTTGAAAATGCTTTCTTTCTGAAGGAGAACATCCCGCTGCAATGCAACATGGCGGACAACTCCGTCTGCAGTATCCCGTCTCTGCGGTGCTCCTCAGCGTCTTAGTCACCTTAACTGGCTGCTAGTTACTGTGAAATCATCCTCTAGACAAAGTGGACATTTTTAAATCATTAGCTACACAAATAGATTGATTTGAATTGTGAAGTCCAAATGTTTCATTTTGTTTTCCATAGATGGCACTGACGGCTGGTTTCTGAAAATTTAAATTTATAGTTGATCTATGTTGAATTTATAGGCTAGAATATTTGAATATTTATTACCTATCAAATGAATAGAAAAATCACTTAAAATTGTCCCAAACAGTTAATTTATTATTATTAAATTTGACTATTTCAGAAACCGGGCGTAAGTAACTAATATTCGTAGTCTCTAGTTTTTGTAAAATTTCAATATGATTTTAATCGAAAATGTTATTTGTACAAAAATGTAAAAAAATGTACAAATTGCTCAATGCTAAGAGATTTAAAATAGCATTGCTTGTATTTTCAAGTAATTTCTTAAGTTTACTTAATAAATGTTAGTGTTGGTTTGATTATGCAAAATTAATGTAATTTGTAAACCACGAAAATGTAATATAGTTAATTCATTGATATAAAACTAGTTAAGACTTATTTAAAACAAAGAATTCATTTGGGAAACTAAAAAGTAAACCATATATCAAAAAATATTGGAACATTGCATAAAACGTATCGGTAAACGTCGGCACAGTATGTGCTGCTCTTCCATACATCTCTATCAGCCGTCATATCTGAATTCACTCCTTTCTTAAGCATATCCTCTTTCACACAATCCATCCATACTCCCTTCGGTCTTCCTCTTCCTTTGTAGCCATCCACATTCATTCTTAACAATTTCAGGTTTATGTCCCCATCATTTCGTCGCATAACATGTCCATACCACGCTAACCTTTAAAGCTATGAGATTTTATTAATTATTATTATATTTTTTTAATTCAAAAATATCGTGAATTTATAGGCAAATTCCAGGTTTAAAAGACAGTTTCATAAAACAGAATTAAAAATCTCCCGTTTTAATATTCAATTGTAAAATAACATTCCAATACACTGAAAATATTAACAAAAGGCATTTCAACCACTTCAATAAGGAGAATAAATCTAAATTCTACAATTTCAATTCAAACATTGCAAATGTCTACTGAAACTCATGTTGTCTCTTTCACGCTTTGAAGGAAAGAGACAACACGATTTTGTAAACTCGTAGTAGTGAAACAATCGGGAATAGTTCTTTTTTTAAAACAAACGACAATGTACTTATTTTAAATATTACTTAAAATATGAAAAATTGTATAAAGAAATTAAATAACAAATGAATTAAAATATATAACTTACAGATATTTTATATTAATTAAAACCAATTAGATGTAATTAAATGTTATTCGAATAAAGTTATCACTTAAAAAGTACGAATAAGTTATTAAAAATATAAGAATATAGATCAAAGCATCATCGATCAGAACAATATTGTTTACAAGTAAATTAATTCTAACTTATAAGACGAATGTAAATACTTAGTAAATAAGAATTGTTTAAGGAAATAAATAAATTGCTCGATTTATGACTTTTTATTATCAATACCAAAATTTTATTATTAATTTAAAATTACAGTTACTAGATGGCGTTGTTCAAAACCATCATCGCGATGTTGCGTTTTATAGATCAAGTTTTTAAATTACACAAAACATTCCGTAAAGTCGAAGTTCGCACGCACAGCCTTGACTAAACTATCACACAACTGTATAGTCGCGCTTTCATTCTTATGAGCTTATATGGAGGTTATACTTCGATTTTTAGTTGTGCAACTAAACAGTTGGCTGTGAAACAATCGACAATCGTATAACAGTGCGATAGTCAAAGGTGTACGCCCGCTCTAAGTATTTTTTTACACTAAATTCTTTAACAAAATGTTCTATAAACCTTAAAAGAGTTCGAAATGTGTTTCCAATTTAGGGGAGTTTTGTCAAACGTATAAGAACATCATACGTTCTTAAGTGTCCATAAAAACTTTTATCTCAGTACGTAAATATGGGGCAACGTCTGGCATATATCTAAGCCATAATGAGACTGGCCCATAAAAAGCAGGAACTCAAGAATTACAATGAGGTCAGCAATTCAAACATAAAATAAGCTAAACCGTCACTATGTAATATTTTATTAAAGACTAGCTATAGCTCACGACTTTGCCTGCATAAAAAATACAAAATATAGCCTATGTTACTCACAGATAAATTACCTTTCCAATGGTAAAAGATTTTTTAAAATCGGCCCGGTAGTTTTTACGTGAATAAATTACATACAAAAATCTAAAAATGCAAATCTTTCCTCTTTATAATAATAGTATAGACTATCTGTTCCCGAATTCTGCGCAAGTATCAAACAATATTAACCGATGTATACGAAATGAATGAAATGTAGAATCATAACTTGTGTATGGTATGAGGGGATATGTCCTGTGTGCGGGAACTGCGGCAATAAACTGCAGTCGCATATAAATGTCCAACACACGAGACCATAATTTTATATGTTATTAATATTCATAAACTGACGTAAAACGCTTTTGTACATATAATTTGTGCTGCTTTTTGTCATGGCTATTACATTTTACTTTTATATTTATAGTTCAAAGGAAAAACCATCTTCTAAGTTTTAATTAGACAGTTTTTTTTATATTTACAGTTTACTAGCTGTCCCCATGCGACTTCTCCCGCATAAAATAATAAAAAATCATTTTATTGATGTCAAACCATGGCAACCTTGATGTTGGCAACAACTTATGGTCTCTTTCCCACATTAGGGTTTTTATCCAATATATTTACCTCTAAGTTAAACGGCGTGAAAAAGAGTAATTCGAAAATAAGCTGTGATTTCTGACATCTTAGGCAACAAAGAAGTGTCTTTTTACGCTTTATTATATTAGTATAGATATGAACAAATTCCGTCTGAATTTGCCGAAAAGGAGAAGCGACCGCTGGTCATAGACAGCCTCAATCGCGAGGAAGAAACGCACATAAAGAGGATATTTTCGCTTCCTATGCGTTTCCTCTACCATCAAATCCACTTTCCTAGGACTACAGATAAGGGACTAAAATTAGGTCACCGACATGCATAAGTTAAAGTAAGAATTGAATAATGAAGATAGTGGGAAGTGATAAGGAGAGCTTAAGTTATGATATTGGAGGTATATCGGTAGAGGCAGGGCTAGGAAGAGATGGATTGGATAATGGTGACATGATCAAGAAGTGACTTTTGAGATAACAGAAGATAAATTAACCTGGAAGTGGAAACCTGGTGCAACACAGAAGTAGGGTAGACAGAAAGATGATAAGCATTTTAAATTTGCAAATACAAGGCTAAAAATTTATTCAGTCGTATTAATTTCTTAGAATGTTCTTTACAAAATAAAACACTCTTTTATTATTATTCTTTTGTTCTTGTTTTTGTACGCTTTTTCCGTAGAGGTCTATCTTTTATCTGGTAAAAGTGGGCACACGGGAATACACCGTCTTTTTTTATTTCCTTATCTTTTTTAGTTATTAAATGTTGTTTTTTTGTAAATATAATGAAATTGAAGTCTGTGTAGCAATAAAAATGAACATGTATTTAAGTAGGCGAGAACAAACACGGAATTTTTAAAACTTGTCTGTCTGAACGACGCGTTTGTTACGGGTCATCTCCGAAACGGCTAAACAGATTTTGACCAGACTTGCAGAAAGGTATGAGGTATATGAGGTTCAATTTTATTTCAACCTGCTGAAGAATTCGCGTCCAATATCTAGGAAAATTCTTCGATTTAACTATTAAAAAGAAATATAGAACAAATAGTTACTTACTTTAACTTGTTATGTACAAAAGTTGAGTTGTGAATCTTAACAAGAGAACAATAAAAATTTTGGCATCTGATTTACTTTGAAAAGTTTCGAGAATCGTAGACTAGAATAGAATATTCTCGATTGTTACAATGCCAAGAAATATCGCTTTCAATGATCTGGTATTGCTTTTGTAGAAAAAACTTGATTAAAATTTAAAGAAAAAATAGTTTCCCGGGTGTAAAGGATATCTGCAACAAAAAATCATCAAACGTACATAGGCTCAAGCTGACAACGGTGATGTTCGCAAAGAAATATACTCGGCCTTATTCTGAAACGATTCTCATACAATTCACTACGTAAGCGACGCTTAAAATCTTTCAGACGTCATAACTTTAATGGAATTTTGAATATAAGCGTGACCTTATCATTTCAGACACTGTTACATAATACATAATTTTAGTATGTTTGTGTTTAAGATTAGAATTGTAACCTAGTGGTGCTAAGACGTAGACTACAAGGCTTGATCCATCTACTAAAGTGTGGTTCATTTTTGGGCTTAAAAAATAATCCTTAAATTCTACAGTTTCAAATTTTAAAGAGCTATATTTCCAGTATCTAGAACAAATGTTTTGCATACTCATAGTACGATGTACTCCCGCGTTCCCGTTCAGGTAATAGACAAAGCAACGATATACCGCTCTATTCCGCAACCAGACAATCTAAATCCATGAATAATCTATTGGCTATTGCCTTTGGGATGCATTCAATATCATCTCTATGTTACTATGGATAACCGTATTAAGCTGGATAAATTTTTATAAACACTTCAAAGGATCGTTTACCTAAGAATAACATGATTTCCTAAGTAATCTTCTTAATCGATAAAATCAGTAAAATAACACGAAAAAGGAAAATTAAATATCTTATCGATGACGTTAATATTAAACATAATTTTGTAGAAAAAAAATATTAAACGAAATAAATTACTTAGTAAGTAAAAACGTAACGTAAATAACATCGTAGTTACGTTATCAAATTAAATTTATGGAACAAACGAAGCGAATAATTTTTCGTTGACTTATTTTTAGGTAAGAAAATCTCTTGAAAAGTTCCACGCGATTATGAATCAGGTCAGGGGTTCAAACGTTTGTTTTGTTACTGGCTTCTAACGTTTACGGTGACACAATTCCTCGTCGAGCATTTTCCCTTTCTATTTGATGTTTTTTTTAGTTGTACTTGTAAACATTGATGTTAGATTTAGTCGTAAATTAAAACGTTATAAACTTAGTTTTTTCAGCGCTTAGTAGAAAATTTTTGACACTAGTAGTCGGCGTGACTGCGTCTGCGTGGAATTAAAAAACAAAACTAAGTAGGTAATGTGCTCTTCTAGACGATGCTCTACATCTAAACCAAATTCCATCAAGATCAGGTCAGCAGTTTAGGCTAGAAACATCCATCCATCTTAATTTTCGCTTTTATTATATTACTATGTTTTGATGAACATTGTTTCAATATAGGTGTTTTTAGCTCATTAAAGGCATGAAATTAATATTTAATTGTTATAAGAGTAAAATACAAATAGATTAGGCTTGCAAGTTCGCAAAAACTAAAAGAATCCTACAGCTGAATGGCCTGATAAAATCTACATCGGACTTTCATGTTTGAAAATAATAGTAGTAAAAGGAAAAGTTGCGTAAGAACAGCTATTTCCGCATTAGATAACATTTCAAAGAAAAAACCTTTGTCGTGAACAAAGAGTTTCAAAAATGTATAGAGGAAGCATAATTCAGACATTTTCCAAATACCTCACTAACTCTATTCATTAATAGATTCTTAAACCCACATATAAAAATAAATAATTGTATTTGTCAATAGGTGTCACTTAATAATATTTAAATGTTTAAATTTAATTTTGAGATACT